TGGATAAAAGTGAAGGCTGCCTGTTGCACAGAGATAAAACTTGTGTTACAATTACTTTGCCAAAATTTGCTTCTATTTTACTGAAATATTACAACTGACTTGGTAACTAATTGGACAGCAAATCATTAATGTAACAGAACATGCATAAAATACGAATTTACTAACGTCATTTTTTTCCCCCTAAAGGGTGTGAAGGAGCCTGACTATTTTGCTGCTGTTGTAAATTCACAAACACTTTTGAGATGTGGAAGCCTATGTTCAAAGCAAACTTGAATGAAAGAAATTTTCATAATTCCCAAATTGGAAGCATTTGGCATGTCACCCCCTCTTAAATCCTCCCAGCCAATCAGCAGAGTGAGTACACCACCAGGCATCAACATGTGCCAGACACTGTTGGCCTTAAACACAGGTTGAAGCTAACCTAAACAGCTGTAGCATTTCATGGGTATGGTGTGCACGTGCCCACGAGGACAGAGATCCCACGAACAATAAGGAGCTTCATCAGCCGCTATGAAATGCCTTCCCAGGGTGGAGCGAGACTGCAAAAGGATTAAAACCTGCATGTGAGTACACAGCAGAACGCCCACCAAGGCATGCAAGCTAGCGTGAAAGTTTTGCAGCACTTTAGCCTATAACTGCTGCTGTCCCACTGGCTTCAGTGAGCAAAGAATCCCACTGCCTCTCGTGAATGCACGCGCAGGTGACCAGCTAAAGGGAGCTCTCCATCAGACTGCAGGTTGGCAGAGGCAGGAGTGGAAGCAGCAGATCCCCTGATAAGATTAAGGATCAAGGCCAGGAGGCCTGTGTAGCAAGGAGAAAAAAAAAAAGAGTGCCAGAATCCTTCAAAGCTCAAAACTCAGTCCCTGCACAAAGAGATCTTTATGGGCAGAAAGAGAGGAAGTATATTTATAAGGCCTTTACAAGGGCTCTGCCATTGCTGTGACCAGCTATTCAGCTTGCGATTTCAAATGGTGCCACACAGGTGGGTTTATGTGGTGGTTTGGGGGGGCATTATTTTGTCATGCAACAAATATCTGCAGTCCTCTGGGGGTTTTTTTGTTTGTTTGTTTGTTTTTTTTTACATGCAACAGATCACCAGGCCTCAGCAAACACGGACTTTGACAGAAGGGTGTTGAAGACAAAGCGGGCATGGATCCCTCCCATAGTTCAAATGTGTTAGCTGCTCTGGGAGATCTGAAGAATCTGGACTGGTATTCATGAGTGCAAGGGAAAGCTCTCCTTCCCTGAAAATCATCCTCTCTCCTTCCCCAAGAGTTCACAAGCTAGCCCAAAACCCCCTCCCTAGCATCTGCATTAATTTTGTTTGCATAAGTTTAAAGCAGAATCAGCAAGATCTTTGGCTTGTGTACAGCTGTCACTAGTGGCCAAAATGATCATTTACTTATGCATTTGGTGCTACTTTTGAAATGCTCACCTGAAGTCTGAGAGGTCATTAAAACCTGAATAATTTCTAGCACTCCTTTCCTCAGGAGTACCGAGAAAGATGGGTAGTTATCTGTCCTGGAGAGAAAAAAAATTCTCATCTCTGGCAGCTCCTTTCACTCTGCTGTGTTAAGGCGCAAAGCTGAAATCCTGGATTAAAGCCCAAAGACACTTCAGAACCCACCACTATAAAACAGGGACACTATGATCTTGATCAGGTTACAGTTCCTGTTGAAACCATCCCCAAATTTAAAATGGGATCCATTACTTATCTTCTTTACAAGCAGAATATTTTGTGCTGAATGTTTATACACATGTAGTATTATTTTCTTATTTCTGAAATATTAAATCACTTCTTCCTCTCCTTCTAAGTTCGTATCGTATCGTCCCAGCACCTGACACGTCTCCTCCAATTCAGTGTCTTGCCCTAGACGTGGACAGCATGTCAAAGGTGCAGCTGTGATGGAAATGACAAGTGGATTTGACATTACTTTCGACCATGCATTCTGAAGAGAGGCAAGAGATGAATCTCAGACAATGCTTTTCAGTCTCTTAACAGCCCTTTGTTCTAGAGGATCACTGACTTATTAGCCTAATGCAAGAAATTCAGCTGCGTCTCATTTACCCTTAAATGATTTAAAATTCATCTTATAAATGGAGTGAATCCTTCTGTGATTCAGAGCTGCAAGTCTACCCCTATGACAATAAGAAGGATGTGACACAAAGTTCAATCTTAGGCCTACTCATAGCTTCACTTTTTGTACATTATTTACCATCTGTTCACAGTACTTAGCCTATGTAGGCGAAGATGATTCAGCCATCCATACTGGGAGTTACAAGTGAAGAAGCTGAACCAAAAAGTCAAACCCATGTCCACTCCAAGTATCATTGCTCAGCAAGTGATATGACAAATACGTGCACAGGGCATCTTCCCTGTCCTAAGGAGCTGAGAGAAAGAGAGAAACAAACAGCCCACCTGCATACATGTCCACTTGTATAGAAGGCACGTAAACTTATGAAGGGCTTCAGGAGACTTCAAATGAGAACCAGAAAGGAGAGAGGAGAGGCAAGGTCTGGTGGATTAGATCAGGGAGATGGCAGCTTACATAAGGAGCAGTACAGGAGGCGGCATGAAGATGGTTACAAAAGCATCTGACAAACGAAGGCAGAAGAAGGGCTGGTGAAGATGAAGTGGTCAAGAGCATTGCAAAACTGACTAGAACAACCATGTGGCAAGGGTTGATGTTGCACACTTAAATCACAGTTAGATACTGCACTGAATGGGAAGCCTGTAGAGGGGACACAAAGGGGAGTTGGAGACCAGGGGGATTAGGTTAGCAGCAGCATTTTGCACAGACAGAAGGGAACAAAGAGTACGGTCAGGAAGTCAGAGACAAAAAGAGGTAGCATTAAATCTCTGTGGGATATTGAGAAGCCTTGGCTGCAGCAGTGGAAAGGGAAAGGCCTGAGGTGCTGAGGACTGAGCAATGCGATTCAGTGCTGGCCACAGGGCATGGAGAAATAAGAAAGGGAAGATTCAAAGAGTCCCTAAATGGCGGCCCTGAGCAGTAGTGTAAACTGAACACACCAAAGGCTTCCTGATGGGTCAGGAATGAAAGAAATGCAGATAACCCAAGGAGTCTTGCAGAATTGTAAAGGGACCGCAAAGAGGCAGTTTACTGGCACAGACAGATTTATTTATTTATTCATTTATTTTTACCAAAGAGACCATGGCTCCCATGAGCTGTTGGAATCACCTACAGGTGGGGTAGAGCAGAAGAGCAAAAGTAGGAGACCAGAAGAGCCAAGACGACAGTTGTGGAATAACCTCTGTAGAGGGTGGGATAAGAGAAGACCCCCTGAAACACAGCCACTGACCTCAGGTGAGATGTCAGTGGGAATGCCAACCACACACCTGGACATACAATGCCGATAAACTGCGCACAGGGCATTATTGGGCGAAACTAAATGGTCCATGCAATGCAAACAATGAAATCTACAGAATAAGTCAGCCTCTTCTGTCCTTAAAAATATCTGAAAGCCCTGGTAGCAGCTGTGTCTAAAAGCTCAGCTAGTAGTTATCATAACTACCTGCCCTTCAGACAGTCTCCATCAGTTTCCAGCCAAGGATGTATTTTTGCTCACTGGAGGCATCTTCACTTCCCCCGTACACCTGTGGTAGGTAGGTACATGGTGCTGCCATCCTCTCCCCCCCACCCATGGCCTAACAAGCAGCAGTCTGGATGCTGGTAAAACTAGCCAGCACACTCTCAAAACAGCATGGATTTTAGTTTTAGGTGTTATTAAGCTATATGATATATAGCTACAACCGCCATTTATTGTAGACTTGATTTCTGCGTTGATAGAAAGCAAACACACAAGTATCTTACAGTTTTTTTTACTCAATAATTAGTATAGGGAGAAACATAATAAAGAAGAGAGAGAGAACATTTCTCAGCAAGGGTGTGCTATCCCACTCATACATTATAGATGGTGGGGAGCGGTCATCAGCATCCCAGGTTTTCTGCAGGCAAGGAAAGCACCTAATGCAAGGAATCACGCCCACTCCCAATACGGAAAGCAGACAGAAGCCACCTCAAATCAAACAAACAAAGACTCTTACTGAGCTCAGAAGAAGTTTGTTGTCACATACAGGTCCAGGAACCCATATGCTTGAAACACCAATACAGAAATGTCTGCGAGTCTGCACACACGCAAAAAAAGTGACAAGCTGCAGTTGCACAGAAAAACAGAACATGACAAACTGCTGCATATTTTAAATGCCTTGGGGACACTGAACAAATGAGTAGGGATATACATAAAAAACAAGGAATTCTACCTCTCTCTGCTGGAAGAAAGTCAATATCAGCAAGAAGTTAAAACCACAGCCACAGCTTAATAACCTGAGCCTGCAAACAAAAATTAAGCAGGAATGATTCTCTCAACATGACTCAGTTTCTTTTTCTTGACACAGTGATCACTTACAGATGAGAATGTGAAAAACTCCAAGAACAGAAGTCAAGTGAGCATGCAAAACAAGAAAAGGACAGCACAAAAGTATGCAAATTCATGTTACCCCCAAGATGAGGAAAAAATAAAAGTTGGTATTCTGACTGAAATCACTTCTGTGGACCTGCTAGGAGTCCCATCCTCCACCACTGCTTCGGAGGGCGTGGGGGAGAGGAATGATAGGGTGACATTCCCGTCATGAAGAAATTATTCAGCAATGCACCCTTCCAGCAGCACTATACTTTCAGCCCCTTTGGAGACCAAAGCTGATGGAAAGCACAGTGAACTCGCTTCTCGCAGGGTGTAGATTCTGGATCAAAAGTTTGAGACAGAACTACCACATTTACTTGAATACAAGACAAGAGTTTCGCCCCCCGCAATCAGCACAGGGAAAAATGCTCCTCATCTTACATTCACATAGAAGGAAACCTCATTTAATACACTGCACATTATTACACTGCTGACACAAGGAGCATGTGCTCAGTAATGGAAACCAACTATGAAGTTGATTAAATGCAGCCAACCCTGAGGTCAGCTATAAGACATGACCCATACTGGGCAAACATATGGATGGGAACCTACCACGAGGAGAGGTTAGTGCAACCCAGCTGAACAAGATATATGGTAATGCCCATTGTTCTCAGTCTCCCTCAGTGCCAGCTCCTTTACAAGTCATGGTCAGCCACTACACTGCATACATTTCAACTTCATCTTCACTCCTACAGTCAACCCGTGCCTGCCTTTCTCATTTCTAATTATTCTTGTTTCTTCACCAGCCTTAAATATCTGGCAAACAACATCGAACAGGAACTGGGCTGCAAACAGTTCACCTAGAATCCCTCTGTCATCTCCTCTCTCAGCATGTCATATATGATTAGGGTGCCCCGGCTTCTATGAAGTGCTGCTAGGCCAGGTTGTCCTGCGCTTTAGCTGCACATAAAATTTTGGAGGATCCCAGGGCTCAGGACAAGAACACCCAGTTCCATTCAT